AAGTCAAAGACCATAACTTGAGATTGGTATACTCAAATGACATGGGACCAAAGGCATTGGTTAGAGGACTTCAAGACCTTTCCAAAATGTCCAAGAACATGTTCATATGATCAAAATTGAGCAAGATATGCATTGGAGAAGTTGGGAAATTTTTATGAAATGGCAAAACTCAACTATCCTTAAAACTTCAATTTTTGACAAAAGGGCCCACTTTCTTCCACTTGATTCAGCCTTGTCATGCCACCCACGTGTCCCATGATTAATTTCAAGACCAAACATTTATTTTTTCATTTTTATTTAATTTTTATGGATTTAATTCATTTTAATCCATAATAATTCAAATAAAATCAAAAAATTAATTAAATGGCATCTTTGAGGTTTGAATGACTTTCATGTGTCATATTCCACCTACCAAATTCGTGCCAAGCTCATTTATGCATAGAATTCAAAATTTGAACCAAGCTTGGAAAGTCCTTTAATGGTGTTAAAGAAAAATCCAAAAACTTAATTGCAATGGATCCCAAGCTCATAATGTGACCTAATTTCATTCACATGTACATATGCAAGCCTTCTCAACCTCATTCACGACCTGAACATTGCACAAACGGTCATTACCATATTGAAAAAAGTCAAAGAAAGTTTGAAACTGAATTCCACCTTAGAGGCCCTTTCAAGGAGATTTAAAGCTTCAGACATATTGCTGGAAGCTTCAGGAGTGATTTGGGATCAAAACCACTTGCTAGAACTCAAGGAATCATCCACCACAGTCCCACGGTTTGTCCATTTTTTTTAGAATCAAAATGCACGATTCATGAGCATTTGATGAGATTTATGGCTTGTTTTGTATTGCTTGCATCCCTATAAAACTGTTGGTATTACTTAATTGAATTATTATGCAGTGAAACGAAAACCACCATTAACGAATTTTAGGTTTTCTAAGCTTGAAATTTGGGGATTTAGTAAATAGGAAAAATTGAACTTCATGACGCCCATGGTTGGATTCAGAGGATCAAGACGAGTTCAAAGGACATGTCGCACCCAATTTATATGGCACACACGCCTATTCGCTATTTTTCAATGATGCAGATTGTGGGGGTTAAAAACCCCCGCGAATTGCTTTGTTTTTTACAGGAAAAAGGAAAGAGACGAAGACGTGGAAGAACATCATTGGCCCATTTCAAACCAACGCGCGTGTTTTCTTTTATTTCCAAGATATTGCCTTTATTCCATATAATATTATTTTCTTATTATTATTACAATTGAGTCAATTGGTGTAGTGGCAGTGCGAATGAACATTGAGCGCTGGGACCTGGGTTCGAATCCCAGGTCCCCCATAATTTCCATATTATTTTTCTTCTTACAATTATGTACAGGCTTCCAGATAATGAACATCATACACCTCACGCGCCAGCTTGCCATGTGGCCCCAAATCAACAATCCAAAGGCCAGAAGGGGATGAACACCATGTGCTCAGGTCAAAGCCAGTGTGGATAATTCAAAAAGTCAACAGGGCTTGCTTCTTAATGGGCCTAAATCTCCACATCCACCTCCATTCTTGGGTCAACACCCCCATTGGTTTCTATTTCTTTTTCTATTTTCCTTTCTTTTTATTTTCTTTAGTAATTATTTAATTAATCAATTAATTAACACTTTTCATAATAAAAATTCAAAAACTAAAAAATGTAAATATTTTATTTTTATTAACTTCACTTAGTTTAGTTATTTTGTAAATAAATTCTAACATTAATTAATTTAGTTGTGTAATTAGGACAATTTTAACATTTTTTTTAATAAATAAAATTAATTTAGAATTAGGTCTTTCACTTTCAACTTTTAATTCCTTTTCTTTTTATTTCATTAAAAACATAAAAACACAAAAACATTTTTTCTTTAATTAAATCATTAATTAGTTAATTAGGTTTAATGTTTAATTTAATTCTAAAAAGGGTCAAAACCCCAGGACGTTCCCGATTCAATCTTCTTTCGCGCTTTAATTTCTTTTGATTATATTTATGTATCTGTACAGAGTATGTAATAGTTAATTAGGATTTTATCGCCTTATTTAAATTCTCGCACTTTGTTTCTAAACGGGTTTTTTGTTTTTGGCGATGTATAGACCCGCGCCTTGTAATAGCTAGATTTACTTTTCCGCAATTTATTTTCTGCACTCCTAACTGTTAATATGCATGAAAGACTTGTATGAAAAATAAAATCAATCTGTAGCTCACAAATAACATGTACAAGATAACCTTAACTGAAAAACAACACACGTGCACATGCCACTTCTAGGGTACGCCTCACTGGTTGCCTCGACGTGGTCATCAAGTATAGGACGTCTTAGAGGTCGCCCTTCTGTCTAAAAGATCCAGTTGCCTTGAAACGGTTGCCTCGGATAAAAAGGATCTAGGACATTAGGGTTACCACTAAGATGTCCTACCATTGCTTCAGTGACCACACTGTCCCGATAATCGAATTGACCCGAATAACTCCAACGATGGTGCTACCTACCTCTCAATGGTGGGATAGCACTATCTAAAGGACTCTTACACAGCCTAATTCCTTAGAGTAGGTAGATTCTCATGGGTACTTGCTCTTTCTCAAAACAAACAAAAATACTTTTCACACCTCACACTTTCTAAAAGTTTTCAAACAAATTTTTCATACACTCTTGAGGACAGATACAAGAGTTACTTAGAAATTTTTCAAACGAAACTTTTTCAAAACCCACACGCACTTGAAAAGAAAACATCTTTTGAAAACATAAGAGCAAGTACCTAAGAGCCCATGGATAACCATGGATAGAAAGGGTGCTAACACCTTCCCTTTCTATAAATCTACCTCCCGAACCGAGAGACATCTCGAATAAGGAATTTTGCTGTGCTTTTGTCCTTTCCATGTTGGAGAACATAAAAGACGGTGGTGACTCTTGCTTACCGCGACATTTCGCGAAACCAGCTACAAAACAGTCAGTTCTATTTCCACCGATCACACGCTGCATTTTCATCTATTTGATTTTCTTATTTATGTTGTTTTTATCATGGTTTGTTTCAAAAACGCATTTAAAACTCTAATATTAGTAAAAAAATTGATTTGGAAATGGTTTTTCAAACTCACAAAATTCATCCTCCTATCTTGTGTTTGGAGTCACTTTACCAACAAAAGATTCCAGAAGAACAACGTAAGTATGGGGCCTTTGGTTGAAATGGGACCAGGCCCATTTTTTTCAAATCCGGTCACCACAGGTAGCTTTCCCCACCCAGGAAAAATCAGGCATCTCAGACTCATCATCGATGACCCTACAGAAAACGAGGCGAGCCTTTGGAATTCAGGGGTGCACCAAAGAGAATTGATCTCTGAAATCCGTCTAATTCTCAAAAATGTCATTCAAATGATTGACCTCTTTTGCTTTTGAAGATGGCACCTGGGATATAGAAGGGTCAAGGAAGAGAGTAAGCAAAGGGAGCAAAAGTCGAAGATAACTAAAAAAACGCATTGCTCAAGTGAGAAAGGAGAAGGCACTGTAACCAGAGGTTGCTAAAAATGCAAAGAAGAGTAACTAATTTCTCAAAAAACCAAATATGATTCAATTAGTAGTGAGAGCAAAAATCCATTTACAAAGCCATGCGATCCTTATATAGGGGAATGTGTGTCAAGTAAGCAACAAACTGAATGAAAAGGAAATGAAAAAGATGAAAAACAACAACCAGACCTCGCCTCAGAAATACCACAACACTTGAATGCATCAAGCACCATAGAGAAAAATGTGACACAATAACCTTCTAACCTAGGGGCACGTTTCTAAAATTCACCCGAAGTGCCTCAGTGATGAGAAATACATTTAATGTATTCGTTCCTATCTCTCACCTAATTTGTCACATCAAGTCTCACCCGCAAATGACTTAACAAAATTAGATTGACATATATCTTAGAAGGCTCCCCGTTCAACATTTCACGACAAATTTTAGGGCAATTGTTATGGGACGACTAAAAGTCCAATAATGAGAGGTCTATTAGTATTTCCAAGAAAGTTCAACAACAAACTCAATCCAAAGATAAATACTTTCAGATGTGTAAGACATTAGGAACATTCATTCTTTCCTTAATTTATTTTATTCCTTTTTGAACTACTCTTCAACTGACTTTGACGCTGAAATGCAAAACCACATTTAGCGTCAAACATTATAACCCAAACATAATTATGGTTGTGATACAAAACACAATTAAAATAAAATTCAAATTTGTTTCCAAAGATGAAAAGAAATAGAAACTAACGTAAAAATTATGAAACGGAGCAAAAAACACATGTTAGCGTGAGTGTTGTATATCAAATACCATGAAATGCATGCAAACGTGAAATGATTATATATCGGTTCAAGAATTTTCAAAAATAAAAATTGAAAAATGGAACGAAAATAATTTGGTATTTAATTAGTTGGTTTATTGAACAAAATCCAAACATATTAATTTTGTCTCCTTTTGATTTAGTTTGAATCAGATATACCCCAAAAAGAAGGGTATTAAGCCACAAGTATCCATACCGAAAACGGATTTTAGCCAAGAAGGTAAACTAGGTAGGTGGGAAGGCAATGTTGTGAGATAAGGTAACGAAATGGTAGTGGGAAATAGATTAAGGGTCCCACGTGTGGAAGGAAGCAAATAAAAGCACAAGACGACAATAAAATGAATAAAATGAAATATATATTGTTGGATCCAAATGATATACCTTACGAGGATCTTAGTCAGCATAGATATTTCATACACGCCTTGGATAAGAACAATAATGTCAATCTCTTCATCTGTTGACGTGATTCGTTTTGGAAAATCTTGATCGATTATGTGCGACTTGGTGTAAAACAAGGTTCTCAAAATTTGCAGGTAATAGTTAATTTCATCTCTTGAACTTTGTTTTTGTTGCGTGTTTTTCGATTTGAATTACGAATCTGATGGTTGAGTATTGAGTCACAGAACAACCCTGTTTTGAGTTGGTAGATTAATTAAAGATGGTGGACAAGTTTCTAACCGTGCCACCGTTTGAGTGTGCGTGGCGAGAGGATTTAAAATTCCAGGAAGCAGGTAGGGGATGCGTGGCTTTCGATGCATTTGCCTGCAACGACGTGACATTGGTTTTTAGGGAGAATGTGGGAAGCCAAGGGTACCACTACAAAAGAGATACTAGTCCTCATTACACGATCATATTGGGGAGTCATAGGAATCGACGTCTTAGAATCGAGGTCAACGGTAAAACTGTTGTTGACCAGCCCGGGGTTGGTCTCTGTTGTTCCAACTCATTTCAGAGTTATTGGATCAGTATCTACGACGGTTTCATCAGCATAGGTAATGGGAAATACCCTTTCCAGGATCTTGTTTTCCAGTGGGCTGATTCCAATCCTAATTGTAATGTTCAGTATATTGGTCTCAGTAGTTGGGATAAACATGTTAAGTATAGAAACGTTTATGTCCTCTCGTTAACGCACTCTCTCCTGCCGTTATCTAAGCGCATGTTTTTCGCTGATTATCAATTTGAGGATCATCATGTTGCTTACAAACACTTCCATATGGACATTCACAAATGGGGCCTCAACAATTTTCTGGAGAGTTGGGATTTGTCTGATATGATTTTCATCGTTGGTCACGCGGAAAGACCTGTTCCTGCTCACAAGGCTATTTTAGCTGCTTCTGGAAACTTCAATTTCTGCTCCTCCTTTGTCATCACACTGCCCAATGTTTCTTATCCACTTCTCCATGCATTGCTTCACTACATCTACACTGGCTGGACCGAGGTACCACTTCTTCCTACTTATTGTTCAACACTGGCTGGACCCATGTTACATAGATGATAAGTTTGTCTTGTCATTTTGTCTTGCTGATTATCATCTTGGCTGATTTTTATTTTATTTGATCTACTGTTGTGTCTTTCTATACTCTAGATTCCACATGAACAACTCGATTTATTGAGGGCTTTAAGTCTACATTTTCAAGTGATGCCACTGGTGAAGCAATGTGAAGAGGTTATGGAACGGTTTAAGGTAGATAACAAGCTGTTTGACACGGGTAAGAATGTGGAGTTAATGTATCCGTGTATTGGACCTCATCGTTCAACATTACCTTCGCTTCCCGTCAGCATTCAGAGACTGGGGCAGTTAAAACTATCGGGCCAGTACAGCGACGTAGACATCTTTATTGAGAGTTACGGGTTTGTTGCAAGAGTACACAGAATTGTTCTCAGCTTATGGAGTATCCCCTTTGCTAAGGTGACCCAAATTCATTATCTGTGATCTTATAATTTGTGATTCGTAACAGGAAGATTTATGCACTTAAACATCAACCTTTTCATTTTATAGAAGAAATATTAACTTCAGTGAGCTATCAATTAAAGATGCTGTTATTTTTTACAGATGTTTACAAACGGAATGAGTGAAAGCATGTCATCAGAGGTTACTTTACGGGATGTGCAGCCAGAAGCTTTCAAGGCTATGCTTGACTTTTTATATGATGGGCAATTGAATGAGGAAGTTATTGATTCTGGTTCTTTGTTACTCCAACTCCTCCTATTGGCTGATCGATTCGGAGTGACATTTCTTCACCAAGAATGCTGCAAAATGCTTTTAGAAGGCCTCTCACAGGTAGTTGGGTAAATTTCGCTCACAACAGTAGTTAGTACTTACTAGGAAGATAGAATAATTTATCCTGTGAATGCCACTTGGATTAAGTGATTGGAGAAGAGAGTTGCGGTTTTGGACTCGTGAAAACAAAAGGAGAGAAGAGAACCATTTTACAATAATCAATTATAAGATATTGATACTTCTTGTCTACACGTCATATGCAGGGATGAAGTTCCTCTATTGGGTGAAGGTCATACATACAACAGAGTTTTTCTATTATACAAACAAATTAAATGGAGGAGGAAGAAGACAATTTTGGCATCTATTAATGATGTAGCTTTTGAAGCTAACTATTGAACTTTGTTGCAGGACTCTGTATGTCCACTCCTCCATGTGGTTTCTTCAATCCCATCGTGTACACTTGTTAAAGAAACACTGCAGAGGAGAATCTCCATGAACTTTGACTATTTTATCAGTGCCAGTACTGACTTTGTTTTGTTAGACGATACAACTTTCTTCAACATCATTAAGGTGTGTTTCTCTTAAAGTTGCTCCATTTGTTGATACAACTTCATTAAGATGATACAACTTTAAGGAATGGGGTTTTACTTATGTGGATATGCCATCAAACTTGGAACAGTACTTTGGTAAATTCCTGCATATGCAATTTCTCAAATCTATATTTGAACGTTGCAGCATCCAGATCTGACGGTAACATCTGAAGAGAAAGTTCTTAATGCAATCTTAATGTTTGGCACGGATGCGAAAGAGTTATTTGGATGGGAAGTGGTGGATCAGTTAATAATAAATTCAAAACCTGAAGTCCTTTTTGGGGAGAGGCTTCAGTTAGTTTATGACTTGCTATCATTTGTGCGATTTCCGCTACTACAACATTCCTTACTCGACAAGGTTTGCCGGCTCTACATTCAGACACTTATTACTAGTTTTACGGGAACAAGGTTTCATTACATTCTTATTCTAAATATGCCATGTAATTACTGTGCAGTTGCAGAATAGCAACATTGTCAGACATATTCCTGTTCTACAAAGTCTCGTAAGTTTGCTGTCTTGTTCCAATTAATACTGTCTTTTTCCAATTGATTCAGTTTGTATATTTTGTGCTGTTTTTAAATGTTATCTTTGATTAATTGTTATGTTGTTTATATTCTTACAGGTTCATGAGGCAATAAATTTTGTTGAACATAGGCTGGGAAGGCCGGAATATGAAATTAAGTAAGTTCTTCCTCATAGTTTGTTTCCTCAGATTCTTCATCAGGCATTACATCATGCTTTGCCCTTTGAGCCAATTTTCAAGATGTAGATTATAACCTCTCCAATAGATAGGTAGAGCTGTCTCAAGTTTTTGGAGGGCCTATGTAGAGTAGTAGCAGAGACCCTATTTAACAACGGTTTAAACGTGACAAACATTTTACGAAGCCTTATCTAGCTGGTTTTGTAGGGATGAGTTAGTACAAACTCTGATTCTGTCACTTGTAATAATTGATATCAGGATACGGAAAGGAATATTGGAAATGTAGAAATATATCCCAAGTCACACATTAGTTACTTGGCTGCTTAGGTTTTTTAAAATAAGTTTGAAGTTCAATTCAAAAATGGATTACTTGGCTACCAAGTTAGGCCTATTTCTAGTTCCACTCAAGTCATGTATACTGTCTTTATGCTATTTGTTCTTGGTGTATATTTAGAAATTACTATAATCTTCATTCTCAACCCGCCCCGCAAAAAAAAAAAAAAAACTAACACGAGCTGACTTTCATCGGTTGCAGTGCTAGATTCCAACATAGACGGTCTAGTTACAGGGAGCTCCAGTATATTTGTGATGGGGATGACCATGGAGTTATGTACTTTGCAGGCACGTCATATGGTGAACACCAGTGGGTTAATCCTCTTTTGGCAAAGGTAGGTCATGTCCTATGTTTTTCTCTTTCGGTTTATAGAAATTCTTATTGCCAGTGCTGGTCTTCAAACTGTTTATACATTCTCTTCTCAAAAATAAAAATTTGTGGCAGCCAAAGAAAATTACCATCACAGCCAGCAGTCCCCACTCAAGATACACAGATCCCAAGGTTTTGGTCTCAAGAACTTACCAGGTATGCTAAATTGATTTGCTGTCATTTGTTATTGAACTATTAATTTCTTGGACGGAACCTAATACTTTCTCATTTGGCTATGATAGGGAACGTGTTTCACCGGGCCTCGTTTGGAAAATGGACATAACTGTTCCTGGTGGATGGTTGATCTTGGACAAGATCATCAGGTACATAACATGCTCTTTGAGCAAGCTATTTATCGTATATTTAGTTTAAGATAAACACCAAAATTACCCGGCTGCAAAATAAAACTTTTAATTCGACGATTTGTTGCCATTTGACAAATGATGTATTGAAAGTAGAATTGCAATTCAATGAGTAGATCATTTTTGTTAAGATTGAAATCAAGCATCTGATTTTTGTCTCTCATCATATTTCAGCTTATGTGCAACTACTATACCATGAGGCAGGATGGCTCCAAGGCCTTTCCGAGATATTGGAATATTCAGGTACACAATAGTCGACTCTATTTAGTAGGATAAGATTTAGTTATTGTTGTTTCCATAAAAAGTGTTTGATGCACCCAAATCAGGGTTCGGCGGACGGAAAGAGCTGGCGAGACTTGAGGGTCCATGAAAATGACAGGACAACATGCAAACCTGGTCAGTTTGCATCTTGGCCTATAGTTGCTCCCAATGCTTTGCTTCCCTTTAGGTATTTCCGGGTTGTTCTCACAGGACCCACCACTGATACTACTAATCCTTGGAACTTCTGTATTTGTTACTTGGAACTTTATGGCTACTTTCTCTAAAAGCTTTTGGTTTACCTATACATGCATGCTTTCTTTAATTACATGTCTAGCTTCCTTAATGCAAGTTCCTTTATTTGATTGAATAATGTAATATAATGTATAAATCCATATAGTTTTACCAAAGAATAATTTAAGTGCAAAATTTGATGTTGAATTAAAAAAGAGAATATATTTATTTGATTAAATTTTTTTCTCTTTCATTGATTTGATTTGCTATCCACATTTGAATATTTCAATTTATTTAATTAGAAAGTTTTGGTAAATTTTTTTTTAATTAATTGGATTTTTAATTGTCTAAATTTATTTTACAAATATAAATGAGAACCTTTCCTGAAATAAAAGGACAAAATTGGCTAAGAAACTAGTTAAATAAGCACTTGGAGAGTCGAATACTTTTTTTTTAACACAGAAAAGAAGAAGAAAAGGTACGTCGACTTTTTGAATTCTTATTTTATCAGTTTTTTATTTTGCAGTTTTTTTAAAAGAACTTATTTATACTTTAAGTTTTTTTTTTTAACAGATTGGTTTTTTAAGTTTTTTTTAATAATTTGGTTGTTTAGGGTGATTTCTATCTCATTTTTTTTCTTCACATTTTGAACATTTTAAAATATTAATTGTTGTATTTCTAGTTACTTCATCATTTTTATACCATTCAAAATAATTACATCTATAATTAGTATATTTCTCTGTTAAAAAAAGATAACGATACACACATTTGATAATTTAAAGAACTAAATTATTGTAAAAAAATTTAAAGGACTAATATGTTAAATAAATAATTTAAAAGATCTCTAGGATATTTTTGTCCAAATAATTTGATGTTATTTTTTATCAAAACATTTCTTTATAAATAAAATAAGTAACATTTTGGATAAAAATAAATTTTTTTTTACATATTATTATTTTAATGTATTTTTTATTTATAAAAACACATAAATATATAAAATTAATTTGCATTGGATAAATCAAATAATTAATTGATGATTTTATGATTCAAATTGAATCCTTAAGAAATAGTTACCACAAATTTTAATTATAATATTCTCATTATTTTGATTAAAATAAAACTAATTTATCTTATAGATTTTTTTTATAGTAACTAAATTAAAAGAAAACCGTGGAGAAAATTAAAACCCTCAAGGAATCACTTTGAAAGATAAGTATCTTTTAAAGTTTTGTTTCAAATCTTGAACATATTTTTGATCAATCCATCTTAGACCAAAAAATAGGGTATTATTTCTCCCACTTTAACGGATAGAGAAACATCTTTAAAAAAAATCCAAAAATAGCCATACGAATTCAGAAGTATATTTTTGAATGTACACACTTCACACAAAATACATCCTTATTCTTAAAAAATATAATCTTAAAATGTATCTCTAGACACACCCTTTTAATAATTCTATTTATTTAATAATTTAATGACAAATTTGAAAGTGTAGTTTCAGATTTGTTGAGCGGAAATTTAAAAAAAAAAAGTCACATTTGCATGTCAGTGACAATTCCAAAAATACATTTTCAAATTTGTCAAGCAGAAAATTTAATAAAACACCGCATTGCATGTTTGCTTCACTCATAGTCAAAAACACTATTGTTCTTCAAACTCTATCAAAATCTCATTCCATACTCAATCAACTTTTCTACTTCAAAACAATATTTCTCTGTTTTTTCACATCAAAAGGAGTAAAAGAAATTGGAATTTAAAATAATGTACATATATTTATTTCCTCATTACTTCTATTAATCTGGGTTTTGTATAAAAAAAATGAGTGTTGCGTCTGCAAATGAATTTTCAAATTTTAGTTGAATGTCATACAAAAGTGTATTTTCGGATTAGTTCATAGTTGAATTTGTGAGTTAGGCTCAATTCAACCCTACAAAATTGTCTTGTATAGTGAGATTGTTCCTCCACTTATTATAAGCACATGTTTACGCCATATATTGTCTGATGTGGAACTCTTAACACTCCCTCTCACGCCCAGGATTGAACGTCTAGAGCGTGCAACTAAATAGTGGATGGTCTGATAGCGGAGTGGTCCAACAGATCTTAAACAAAGTTCTAATACCATCTTAGAATGTGTGAGTTGCGCCTAACTCAATCCTACAAAACTGACTTGTATGACGAGGATTGCTCCCCTCTTATAAGCACATGTTAAGGTCATACATTCTTAGATCTGGGAATTTTAACATTTTGTTATTATTTGTCTTAGATATGGTGCACCCTGATATTGTCCCCAAACCTATTGTGTTTACGGATGCCAAACTAATTGATGTCAAGGTAGATGTTGGCAACCAATTTACAAATAAACAAGAGTTTGTTGTTTGTGATTATATGCTCCAATGGATCCGCACAAAGGTGGACAAATTTTGGATTCTTCAACTTCAAAATCTAAAAAAGTGTTTTAAAGATGCTCACATTAACAAACCATCTCCTACACCACCTTTACAAATAATCAAATACATCGAAGAGATGACAATTTTTATGCACTAATATATTGAACGAATTGTAAATGTTTAGGGCGACGATAACTACGGTTATCGAGTTATTCAGATTTGCTTGGCAAAGGGAAGGAGAATCATACACTTGTTCGCCAACAACATATCAAAGAGTTGAAGTCGCATAAAGAATCATATACAACGCTATATGGGAAAAGTAATATTTTGATGCAATTCATGAATCTCTTATTCCTTATGTTAGCGATCCAAATTTCAGAGTGTTGGAAAAATTTTGGTTATGCATCTATAATTCTTAAATTTTGATGATAATAAAGTATAGAGAATAATTTTGTGCAGTAGCCATTTTATTAAGTGTGAAGATAATGAAAGTGAGTTGTGAACAAAGTAATTTCTAAGCAAAACAGACTCTGACTTTGAACAAAAGAAAAGTCTGAAAAAAGAAAATTCTAAATCAAAGCAAAGTTTGCACAAAGAAAAGTATGAACAAAGTAAACTTTGAAACAAAGCAAAGCAGACACTGAATTCTGGACAACACAAACTCCGAACAATATGAACTCTAGACAAAGAGACTCTGGACTTCATCAGATTCTGAAGCGAAGCTGAAGTTTGAAGAAGTGTTTCTCTCTGATAACCAAGAATTTGGATAATCAAGACAACAATCTGAATCAAATAATCCAAAATCACTTTAATAACTCAAGCCTCATTTTCACTAGACTTTGAAGTCTATATCTATAAGACTCTGAACTCTAATCAAGCTTCAAATCATCTTAAATACGAAGCCAATGATTAAGAGAACAATGAATGAATATTCTTGGAGATAGTCCATTTAAAGTGTCAAAAATCAAATATTCCTTAAAAGGGACAAATATGTTGGTAATCTTAAAGGATTGTACTATCAACAGATCTCCGCATTTTGCGGCTCAACCTCACACCACTACTACAACTGTGAAATTGATGAAGTTTCCATTTCCATTTACCAACAATATTATTAATCATCTTCCAATTCCATCCTCCAATGGTCCTATTCACCATCTATTTAAAAAGGACAAGGAATTTTGAAGATAAGAAGAACAACAAGTAAAACATGCAAAAACTCTGTGCGCGTCATTGTGAAAAAGTCAAAACAACACAAAACAATAGAAGAAAAGAGATAAAAAAATACTCACTACACTTAGAGATTTTTATTGTATATTTTCTTAAGTTTAAAGCTTGTAATTCATATTGTGTACCTTCTTATTTAGAAGCATCATTGTAAACACATAATCTTTGTATTGTAACTCTATTTGAATTCCTTGAGGGACTAGGTATAGTTTGTAATCTTGAGAAGTCATTGACAGTGTTGTACCCCAAAATTTCCCCTCCCATATTTCTAAATACATGTCAAGTGAGGTCCTCAAATTGCTCAAGGAAGTCCAAGAGTTGACCAGACAAACTCTCTCCTAAGGCAGTCTACCCCAAATTAGGGTTTCATTTTTCATCAATATGCTTGAGTCCAAAGGATCCCAAATGCTCACCATTGTCCTAATATGTTCTCAAGATCATCCATGTCAAGTTTCAAGCCTTGCAGAGGAAATTTGCTCAGTTAATTGCTCAAAGGCCTGAAAATCGATTGTGCTAGGGCAAAAGTCAATTGTGGCCCACATACAGTCAAACTTCAAGATTTTTGGTCAACATTCTCATTTTGAAGTATTATCCATCATTTGATCAAGGGTTGATCATTTTTCCTCAAGGATTGCTCACAATTCATCAAAACCCAAAAGTTGCTAAATTAGGGTTTTGTAGGAAAAGTCAACTCAACTTTGACCAAGCATAACTTTCTCATACTTTATAAAAAATGACCCATCCAAAGCTCATTTTTAAGAGGATGTAATTCCCTACAATTCATCTTCAGCTCCCTAGTTCAAAATATGCACTCACAAGAAGATATGAATTTGGACATTATAGGTCATTTTGAAAAGTCAACAAAACACCTTTTGGGTCAAAGCTTCATACATAAACATGGAAGAATCAATTGAGATGAGACCAAAAGGGTTGCTTAGAGGACATCTTAAGATTTATAAAAAGTCCAAGAACACCTCTCTAGGGTCAAAATTGAGAGAGTTATGCATTGGTCAAGTTGACCCTTTTTGCAAAATTGCCAAAAGTCAAATGTGTCCCAAATTGCAATTTTTGCTAAATGGGCCCAATGTTTTATGCTTGCACTGAGTTTGTAATGTGACCCACTACCCATGAGCCCTTCCACTTGTCATTATTTTATTTTTGTCATTTATTTTGATTTTATTTCATTTAAATCAAATAAAATCAAAATAAAATAATGAAAATATCAAAAAATAATTAAATCATCAGATTTTGTGCATGTTTAGGTGCATTCCACAGCTGGAGACAAGATCAAATCGTGCAAGACTCATATGGACACAAAAAGATTGGATTTTCTTGATTTGGAAAGATTTTGCACAAGGATCAAATCATGAATCAATATTCATAATTGGAAGAGATTTGATACAAAATTGTAACCCTAATGCATTCTAGTATACATAAGGAAC